AGCTGCAAGTGACGGGGAGTGATCCGCTTCACCTTCAGGTCCTTCGAAGCATTCCCTGCCAGCTCCAGCACCTGCCGAAAAAAAAAACCGGGGTCAAAAACATCACCGGGGATCCCGAGGACGAGGAATTCGGGCATTGGCAGGGGAGGAGGGCAGGGTCCTACCTCGGCCGTGAGGTACTCGAGGATGGCGGCGCTGTAGACGGCGGCCGTGGCGCCCACTCGCCCGTGGCTGGTGGTGCGAGTCTTCAAGTGTCTGTGGATGCGGCCCACGGGGAACTGGGGTGGGAGGGACGGGCAGCTCGTTAGGACCCACAGCCCCTGTGCACCTGCTAAATTACCTCGACTGGGGCCCCCAGGGCCTCCCCTCCCTGCGTGGTTTTGTTAAGGTGAGCTTTAACGAGGGGAGGCACTGAACCTCCCCACTGGGTTTCTGCTTAGGAAACAACGGCAATGATTTACCCAAATTTATCTCCCAGATTAATATTCATTTATTATTATTGATCAATCAGCCGGGATCCTGCCCAAGGCAGGACACAGCCCCTGCCAGCGCCGGGTCCTCCTCGCTCTGTACCACCACCACCAATCACAACGTATTCAGTTTTCACCCCAAAAAGAGGGGTGTCGGTGTAACCCGCCCCCCCGAAGCGGCCGTTTCACCGAAGCTCTCCTCAGAAATGGGCGTTTTTCGCCGCCGGGCCTTACCTGCAGCCCGGCCCTCTGTGAGCGCGACACCGCCTTCGCCTTGGCCTTCCCGCTGTCCTTTCCCGCCTTGCCGCCAGCCTGCGAGAGACAAACGCGCTGTTAATGAACCTCAATTAATCCAGAGACACCGGCCGGGCTATGATCCGCAGGCAGAGGCGCTCTGTGCCGCTGCGGGGAACCTGCAGGCTCCCACAGGACCCGAGATGGGGTGAACTCGGGGGACACGGCGTCCTCTCTCACTTCCTGCCGTCACTAGGGCCACGACTTTCAGCCAACACCAAACGGGGGAAAGCAGCCCAGAGAGCCCCGGTTTTTTTCACAGCCCCAGAAATGACGAATTTGGTGCAAATTGTGGTGTTCAAAGTCCCAAAGCGCGGGAATTTGGAAGCCGCTGAGAAACGAGGCAGAGCCGGGTGCTGGTTTACGCCTTAAGGAAATCGATCGATTCAAGGGACACCCAAAGACACCGCGATGTCACCGACGGCTAACGAGAGCCGCTGCTAATGAAGGCGACAGCAGCAGGGCCCTCGGGAAGAGCCTGCACCCTCCTGTGTGAGCCACCGCGTCACCAACCCCAGCCCAAGCCCATTTCAGAAATGGCAGCAAAACACCCCCCACATGGATGCTCCCGGCCCAGGATGAGCAGGGAAGCCCCCAAACGGCCCCTGCAGTGGGAAAGGGGAGCCCTAAATCATGCTGGATACTCGTAATCCCTGTTTCCCCACCACATATCGATCCCACCATCCCAAACCCCTTTGACAAAGGGGGAATTGCAGCTCCGGAGTTAAATCCTTAAAACCAGACGCTGGTTATGACAGGGACGTCCACGAGCCGCGTCCCAGCGGGGTGGGAGTTAACCCCACGGAGCTGCACCTGCCCGCTTTAAACTCAAACGTTATGAAAAAGAATAAGTTTCAAGGGTGAAATATTGGCTCTGGAGGCGCTAAACCCGCAGAGCTGCGGCTGGGGGAACGCTGGCACCCGGCACAGCCGCGGCTGGGGCAGGAGCAGCTCTAGGAGGGGGCTCTGGTTCGTCAGGGACAGCCAGGAGACGCAGCCGGAAACGCTCTGAGGCACCGGCTTGGCGCTGCCTTTGCTGTGGTGAAGCATCGGGGGCTGCTTTTATCAGCAAAAAACCAGCACTCGGTAGAACTTCAAAAATCAGAAAGGGGATCTGGGGAGGTTTCCTTGCTCTGGAAAAAAAAGACAGCTCTGGGAAAGGCCCTGGCTGTTCACGCCGAGGGCTTTTATCAGAACCCGCTCCTCTGTCAGTTTTCCCAGCCACAGCTGCCCACCCGCTGGTTCTTTACACGGTACTTGACTAAAGAGAGCAGAAACGCCGCACAGCAGAAGTCCCGAGGTCCGTCTCCATCTTCTCCAGTGCCTAACCCTCCCGCGTGGAGGAAACACCGCGGCAGTTTCCCCAGCCGAGCTGCCACCAACTCCCTGCGGAAATCAAACCCAGTCACGGTCCCAGCAGAAGGACAAGGGCTCCTGGATGAACACCGTGGAGATCTGCTCCTCCTCACAGGGCTCAATCGGTCAGAGGCGGCAGCGATTCACCTCTGGTCTGGAAGGCGATGTCTCCTTCCCTTCTCCCCGCAGAAGCCGCTCGCTGGGAGCCCATTCCCACACCAAAACCCCACCCGATGAAACACATCGGGTCTCTCACAGCAAGCAACTTTGTTTCTTTTCCCTTCTCATCTCAACCGGGACCAAAAAACAAAATAATCCTTCAAAAAGCAACTTTTTATCTATTAGGAGATCCCCTCTGCTGGGGAGGGTTGCATAACCTCACAGTGCGCTTCCACCTTAACCCTTAGTGATCGGGCCCTTATCTCCTGCTCCCCAACCCCCTGCTCC